ATTAATAATAGAATCCTCTAGGGCTGCAAGTGGGTCAAATGGAATCGGATATAAGTAGTTTAATTCACTTAGTCTTATATTCTGTTTCCAATTGAATCATATTTGTTCATTTTTAATTTTTTTTTCAGTTTCAAATCGAAATCGGATTAAGCAGAAAATGATATCATACATTATTTATAGAATAAATTATATGAAACTTGAATGATTGATTCTTTAGTAAAAATGCAACATTTAAGGCTAAGTTTGGAAAGAGTATAAATATAAATATATATAGTGCAAATACAAGATTTATAATATAATTTCTAAGGTTTTGCACTTTACATATATTTATACTCTTTCCCAACTGAGCCTGTAAATCTATTCACTTAAATCGGACCGAATCACGAATTGGATAGGATGGATCAATATTCCACTCAATCATAAATGGATTGAATTGGGATCACCCCTAGATAGAAATAGAAGGAATTCGGATTTAGATAAAGAACTCCAGAACACACTTAAATGTTGGTTAGGTTTCTTTGAGAAAAATGCTGGTTAGGTTGATATATATGATGGCTATGTCCAGTAATTCACATGAATCTCATATGACCTGTTTGATTTACAAATCAGCCATCCTGATTTTTCTCATGAAAACTAACATTTATATGAGGTATTTTGTTTAGCAGTGGCAATTAAGTGGGTTGGGTTGGGTTTGGTTTGGGTTGAGTTTCAATCCAATTTATCTAACCTGCCAACCCATTAATGATCCAATTATATAAAATTAAATGAGTTGGGTTCAATCCAAACCTGCTTTAACCTAATTCAATCCGCCCAAACCCATTAATCTTATATTTATGTACTTAAAACAAAAAACTAACTCCCTCTTGATAAATAAGTTGGTCATAGCTTGGTGGTAATAGTAATTGCTATTTACACAAGTGTTGAAGGTTTAAATCACATTATGCATGCTATATTTACACAAGCGGCGAAGCCATTGACTATGTTCGGGTTTTGGGTTTGACCGAACCACTTAGGTTCAAGCCGGTCAAACCAACTTGAACTTTCTAATTGGATTGTCTTTGAGCTAATCACATCAAAAGTGGCTGAACCATTTAGATCCGAATCAATTCGGTTGGACCGGATCAGACCGGTTCAATCAATGGTGGATTGACTTGGATTGGCCCATATCAAGTTTATGCACGGGTTTTGGATTGAACCGACTGGCCCAAAGCGGGTCAAGAGAAGTAAAGCAAACCTGTTCGTATTCGGGGCCAGGTTAAACAGATACGAGTCGGATTGGACGATCCAAACCGGGCAAAGCAAGCGAGGCAAATTTTGGGTTGAACCGGACCGAACCATCCCGCTCATCATCGTTCCAGATTTGGGTCGACTTGAATTGGTCTACCCTGGGCCGATCAAGTTTGGTTTGGACTGACCGACCCAAACAAACCAAACCGAGGTAATCGGGTCTATTCATATTTAGACCAAGTCAAGCTGGTCCAGACTTAGGTCAAGTTGATTTGGATTTATGTCGATTTGGGTGAAGTGTGTTGATTTGAGACAAATAATTATAGTCAATAATTAATGGAAAATTAATGCATTAATTATAAATTATTTCATTCAAACGAAGAAAATTTAAAAAAATGGCTAAGGAATTAATATTTATATCTTTAGTGGTTAACCCAATGGTTACCCACAACCCAACCCATTTAAATTGACCCAATGGGTGATCAACCCATTTCCAACCTGCCAAATAAATGGGTGGGTTGGGTGGGTTCAATGGGTTGGGTCAAAAATTGCCACCCCTAATTTTGTTTATTAACACTCTTTCTTGCTTTGCTTGCTTGGATGGACCAATGATTGCCATATGAGGAAAAATGTTAGACATAATTAAGAGAACAAAAACCTACTCAGGGATCTCACCTGACAGCTTAAGCTATTAGGGTACCCTTCGTTTTTTGGAAAATTACTTACCTAGGCAAGTGCACTTACCTATGTAAGTGCAACAATGACTATTTTTACTCATAAAATATCATTATTAGAAGGAACAATTTTGTCCTATAACATTTTGATAAATTTTTCCTCTAAGCAGGAAATTTATTTATCTATTTGGGATATGGGATTATTGGTCAATGGTAATCACTTTCCCATTGACCAATTCCCCCCACCATTTATTGAAAAATGAATGGGGCCAAGGTTGATCAAGTGGCATGGTATCAAAACTTGTTTTTTGATCAAGTGATATAATATTTAATCCCCATCGCCTCCATTATAATTAATTAAGTTTTAACACAAGGTACAAGTAGGCCTATGCTTGTCTACCCTTCAAGTCTAATGGGATTTTGTGTGAAGATGTGTTAGAGAATAAAAACCTATTCATGGTCATGGACCTCACCTAACAGCTTAAGCTATTATATTGAATGGTTCCTTGAGAGCTACAAGGTATTGTATTTGGAATCCTTTTCATGTAGGTGGAAATAATAGAAAATAAGCATGAATGTAAAATAATAGAGATTTAAGTGTGGAATGATTTTTAGGTAAATCTTGTGACTGGATCTACCCATGTAATGGATGATTCTTGTAAGTAGGCTTGTCTTTGCTATCATTGCTATTTCCACCTGACATTTTGGGTTGATCAATACAAATTTACTTACAAGATACAACTGTTATTTGAAGATGTTTATATTTGAAACAACACACCTTAAAAATGCATATGTGGGAGGCTCTTTCGACATTTCTGGAAGAAACAGCAATGACAACAATTATTCTAGCTCAAGGGATATTCATATATGATGTGACAATACGTTCCTCACCAATTTGTATTGATCAACCCAAAATGTTTAGACTTGCAACGCATATGCAAATATGTAGAGCACATAAATGCATTATTTCTGGTTCATGAATGCAATTTAGGTTCACTGATTTTGTATTCTTGTTTGTTTCAATTGATGCATATGTATACAAATTTGGTGTTTGGTATACTGCAATGTGAGCAAACGAACGGATAGGAACCTTGACTAAACCTGAACAAAAAAAAAAAAAAAAAACCCTTATCTAAAATACATGAATAATTGCAAATGGTTTGGGCAGATGTTTAAATTCCAGATAAAGAAAAACGAGGGAAATGGACTGCCAATGCAACCATTTTGGGTTCCGGGTTGAGAAATAATGAGAGGATGTATGGATGTATGGAGGTCAAATTTGGGAGTAGTGAATGGTCGATCTGTAGAAGATGGACTGTGCCTCTACTGGTGAGTACAATGAAACAGACGAGAGATTTGCAAAAGTAAAGGAGTAATACCACATCAGATGAGCGGAGGAGATCTGCAAAAGCAAGCGGTTCAAAAATATTGATGGTCGGTCATGGATGGCGATGACCATGCAGTGGTCAGAGATGAAGACGAGAAATTACCGTTGGTGGAACCCTGAGCGGCGTCTATCCTCTTGCTCAATTGAGAAATCAATAAACCTGTTTACCTTGATTTTCAAAGAGCATAACTTTGTATCCGAAAAATGGATACAGAAATGCACTCTCTTCATGGTACAAAGCTGCAGAAAATCCATTTTTGCTTTCTGAATAGATGCATTTGTGTATGGTAAACAAACTCTCACAAATCCGAATCGGAGTACATAAATGCCCTGATTCGGTGTTTGCATCGCAAACAAATGGAGCCTTAGGCTCAATTTGATAGGGATACAAATATAAATATGTAGAGTACAAAATCTTGTTATTTATATTATTTTTTATGTATTTGCAATGATACTAAATACAACTTAAATTTTCATGTAAGACTATTTTTATATGTAAACAAATTGATGCAAATAAATCCTGAATGGTAATCTCCTACATTCATGAGACAAGTAGCTTTATTTTTTATTATGAGAAAGGATGAAAAACAAGAAACAGTTCAGCCTAGAAGAGGCTTGTCCATAGAGTTGCCTAAATGGCTGTTCGATTATTAGAATTTAGTTCTCTGGATCTTTGCCGGGAAAATTTTAAAATTGAAAAGCTTTTCATAGGCTCACTTTGATAAGAGTACAAATACAAATATGTACAACACAAATACATACAAAATAATACAAAATATATAGTTTTACACTACATATTTGTATTTGTACTTCCAAACTGAACTATAGGCTCCGTTTGTTTGCAGCATAAATTTCTTTTGAATTGGTGTAAATACACGAGTGCAAAGTCGTCGAATGTAAATCCTGAATACTTTTGCTTCGGATTCAACTGTCTTTTTTTGTGAGAAATAAAATGTAGAAGGGTTATTAGGTTATTAGGTTAGGAGGTGAGGTAGGAATTCAGATTTTTGGAATTCAAAATTTGCACTACCAGAGGGTGCAATGAGTAAAAACTAGAAAGTATAAATTTTGTATCAGATAGAGTACAAATCATAATTACAAACAAACAGATGCAAAATTTAACAGGTGGAAAACTTGTATCCGGTGCAGATTCGCACTCAAACAGAGCCATATGATCTAATTACAGCCATGCTATTACTTGAGCGCTTTGTTTTTTTTTTTTTTTTTTTGATAAAAATAGAGGTGGGAGAGGCCGCCAATAACACACCATCACAAATTTTAACATATTGAACTATAGCATGGGAAACAGAAGTTCTAGACTTCTAGATCCATATACAAACTTAACTAAAGATAACTGTTTCACTATTGCTTGAGCTTGATCCAGTAACTCTTTTAGTTGATCTTCTAAAAGAGTTTCTAGGTGTTGAGGCTTGAGATTAAGTTGTTTTGCAATATTTTAATGGGAAAAATAAATGACTGAAGGAAGAAAAAGAGTGACATTGGTAGGTATGCTCGGATGCACATGCACCTTTCAAACCCTAGAAAAGCCCTGAGTTGGGCCAGCAAATTTGAGAATTCAGTTTAAGCCCAAAAAATTCATGTTCCCATGTCTTTCACTCTCTGCTTACCTCTCTAACCTGGCTTCCTAATGGAATTGGTTCTCCTTGAGAATTTGAGGCAAATAATAAGTTTGAAACATTTTCTTGCCAGCATGAAGAACATAATTACACACTTTATTTCATCAATTATTCTTGCTATGTTCTTATCACACTTTGAAGCAAATAATGAGTTCCCTACCAACATGAACAGAATTATTACAATCTCTTTATGAAATGCAGAAACAGAAAAATCTAAACTAGGGAACAGTGACGAGTTTACTCAATTTCCTGGCCAGATCTTTGTAATAAAACAACTGCAAGAGTCACTGCTGAAGCGTAGACTGAAGTAGGAACCCTTTGCACCACCCTCCCAACACCTGGGACACCCTCAGTTGCCCTCTTCGTCATCAATGCTACTGCTGGTGCTACAAGAAAGGCAATGATCAAATTCTGATTAATCACATTAACCGTGTCTTTAGTCAATTTCTGAATAAAGCCAGCAAATTCTTCCCTATCAAGTTCCCCATCAAGGTTGAGATCATATGTCTGCACAAAAATCAGTTACAATTAAGTTTTAAAGTTTTTAAATACCAAGGCTTCAATTGATTGCAAGTAAAATAAAGGAAAATGGCTATGGAAAATAAGTACTTTCCAAAAAAAGAAGAAATAGAGGAAATTGGCAAAAGCGACACTCCTAATTTCCACACATCTTTTTCAAACGTATATTTCACAACCAAACAGGATTAATTTTTTGATGAATTGAGCACCTTAAACCATTCAGGGTTAATTTCCAAGTAAAACTATAACACCAGGAAAATCACAAAAGTGATGTTTTCCTACTGAATATCATTTTCCAAGGAAATCATTTGTTTTCCCTTGTTTTACATGCAATAGAATGCAAGCTAAAAATAATATCCTTGTTTTTTTCCACTTTTAGAACCATGCATGTTAGCGAGGGCAACTCTTCCTGTTTGTAGACACTGGAATGGCATGAAATGGGATGAAATGAGATGCACTATTTAATGCAACTTCATAGCAAAGGACTAAGGCCAAGACCTGACCAAATTAGATCTAATCATTTGATGCATCACATTCATTTGAACGTTTGAAACAAGTAGTTGCACATAGACGAGAATTCGCTATACTCTAAAAAGTAAGAATCATCTGACAATTCTTCGAATAAAATATCTCCAAATAAGATGTGTCAATGGCAAGATACTGATCCTATCCTACCATTCATGCATCATTACTTATGATACAACAATATGGATAAAGAACTTATTCTCACCCTCCTGTTTAATCCACACAGATGAGGAAAATAGTCCCTCTTAATTGAACCACCAGCTCAGTCATGAAAATGAAACTAGCCTCTGAGAAGCTCTTTATATATGCCACCGACATATGCACAAGGACAGTAAATTTCAAGGAAAAAACCTCTGCTCATGGAATCTCAAATAGGATATATGCATGAGGTATCCAAACCAACTTAATAACACTTATATAACAAAAGCAAACTGACCAGTGATCAGATGTCCCCAATATTGGGATAAGTGTTCTTGGCAACCCAGGCCTTAATAGTGTGGGAAAAATGTTATGGACGCATTCGTGGGGAAGAAGTACCGCCGCCGGCAGCAGAAGTAATGTGGGACCCTCATCAGATTATCTAGCTAGCCACAGTTCATCTTACCTTATCTTTATCTTATCTGCTTTCTTACTCTTATCTTATCTGTTCCAATAAGGATTAGTATAGAGTCTGATTTATCTTAGGGAGTTTTTATCCTTCTTG